CTAACACACACTGATGTAAATCACACAAGTACTCAGGGCTTAAGAAAAACCTAGACCTCTGAATATCAGGCTTACAGGGCGGCTGGTGAATGAGAGTTTCTACCACAGTCCTTCTGCAGGCTACCTATGTTACACTGTTTTACATGTATGAAACAGGTGGTAAAGAAAAAGGAAAGCCACCAGATCTGCAAGGCTCTTAACCATTTTCTAAGACAAATCTCTTGGGATCCTTAGCCATTCTTATTTTAACCAATCTCTTAAATATTATGAACTAATGCTGTTTGTACAGATGTCTGAATAGACAACTTTAAATATTCTTCCCGAAACTATGTTGAAATGGCTCATAAGTTAACTCAGCTACAGGGGCATGGAACACATTTCAAAAACACACAAATACCTATGTTGTATATATGTATATTCCATAATGGCATATTTTAAATTACAGTGAATACTTTATTACCTCACTATTTATTACATGGACCAGTTAACTACTAAAAACATGAGGTTCTTAGCAACATAACCATGGAATCTTGCCCTTTAACATTATCTTTTTACACTTTTTTTTCTGATCTTCCAAAGTATTTGAAAACTGATGATTAAGTTAGAACTACAGCAGGCCAGTATGTCAAAAACTCATGTATGCATTTCTTTGAGTGGTTTTGATTTATAAATTAATTATAAAAGGTTTGAGTAAAAAAAGTGTACAAAATGGTTTAAACCCTGACTTTTTTGGTAGATTGCTACTAGGATAATAAGCAACTATACAACATTTTTATGAATATTTTGTCTTATTCATAAAGTTAATCATTAATAAAAACTTAATAATTAAGAAAGTTTTATTACAAATAATTGTTGTATATCATGAAGTATACTTAAGGCATATATCTTGACAACTTGAAAAATAAATACTAATATTGATAATAGTTTTTAAAAGTGAATTCTCTGAAAAACAGCATGAAACACATTAGAATTTTTTTCTTAGAACTGCACAGATTATTTCTAAGTTACTTATATGGGAGAAAAGATAAAGCCAAAGGCAGGAAGCACTCAACACAATGACTTTCACATATTTTGGCATTGATACCATTTATGGGAAAATGAATGCAGCTATTATTTTAATGAGAATATAAGCTAACAAGATTGTGCTACACGTTTCCGTAACTGGGTTTCTGTACTACGCAATAAATTTTCCAGTGGTGCTGGGGGTGGCAGGGTGACGAGAAGACACTGCAGTCTCATGAAACACAAGTGTTTTCTCAGCATAACTGTGGCCACCCCTTTGATTCCTGGGTTATCTGGGGGGCGGTGAGCATGCACTGTAGCACAGGAAACAAAACAAGAAGCTGTACTTGGGATGTAGCCTTTGTTTCACTCTCTTCAAAGCCTATGATTCCTAATGTCATTGTTGGGCAAAGCAAAAAAGAAAGGTTTGTTCTCTTACGTAAGAAATAAACTTCATTTGATATTCAATTGACTTTCTAACTCAGCGGACAGGACTTTGCATCTTCAAAAACTGAGGATAAATTGCATTCTTGGCCCTTGCTTTAAAAGGTTATAGAGAATAAATGCACGGGCTGGTAGTGTTCTAGTGATCTCCCTAATCTCAGTTGCACTTTGTCAGAACGAGGTAACTGGTAGTTAAGTGAAATACCCTAGATCAAAGGGGGATTAATCACCGGCTGAATCCTTGCTGAATCAACCTGTCATTCAAGAAAATTATTTCCACGGAACTTAGCAGAGGATTGAAGGTATTTGCATAACAGCAAGCAACATACTTCAGCCAGGTTAAAAGGTTCAGAATTCATCCCATGTTTAGCTTTTTGCCTCCTTTCCCTTTCAGCGGGGGCACAATGGTTTCTAATCTGATAATACAGCTAACTATCTAAATGATGTCGGAACAGGAAAGTATTGCAAAGTTTGGATGAGGGATGGATCAATTTCACTTTCAGCAACTCCTAAATCTGATTTGTTGGAATTTAAGATGTAATCCTAAAAAAGTCCCTTAAACCTGAGGACTGTTTATTAACATCCCTTTTTTTTTTGACCTTTGTCTTAGAAACAACTCCTCTGCTATGGCAGCAACCCTTGCAGAGGAACTCCACCTTTCTACCTCCCAGGGCCAGTGGAGGAATCTATGAATGCCTGTTAAGGGTTTTAAAATATTGTAACAACAAAACAGAAAAAAGAAAAATCGGCAATGATTACTATGTACAAAATATCTGCTGTTAAACATAGCACATGAAATCTAAGACCATAATATTGTAACAGTAGAAATACTGAGATGGCATGAAAAAAAAAAGATTTTGAGATAGGCTAATGTTTAAATAAAATTTGAAGACTCCTGAGATTCCCGAGGAGCCTGTTTGTTTACTTCTAAGTTAACAGGCTCAATTATTTTAACAGTATAAAATATCTCCACTGTCTAATACTACACTGAGGGCTTTACAATATTGTTTCGTAAAAGAATGGAGAACAGGTACTCAAATTATGACCCATCTTTTCTAGAGTTCATTCTCAGATATTTAAAACTTTCTTTAACCCTTTGGGTTGAGTAAGAATCATTACAGATTTCATAACTATATTTTGGCACTAAAAGAGAATTTAGAAATACTGCACCTAGAGCAGGTCTGACACCATCCAAATCTGTCACTGGAAGTCGATGCTCATATTCACTGCAAATGCAAAGCACCTTTCAAGTTAAAAAAAAAAATGCAAAGAATAGCTATCAAAGAAAATGAATAAAATCCATAGTGAGATAATTTTTTAGAAAATGATTGAAGTTTTAAGCAAAGAAAGGACTCTTAGAGTGTCTTATAGCTTAGAATAAGAACATGTCAATCACGATTAAGCTTCTGGAATCGGAATCCCTTTGAAATGCAGCTGTTTCTTCTTTAATTGTGGCAGTGGACTCTGAAGAAAAGAAAGGTCCAGCCTTAAAGATGAGTAAGGAATACAAAATAGCTCAGGATTAGTTGTGGAGTTCAAAGGTCGCTAATTACACTAAGGAGTTCCCAGACACAGGGAAAACATTAAACAGGTCACCTACCAAACCGGGAACAAGCTTTGTCTTCAGAAATTATCCTGAAGTGACAGGTTTCTAGACAAAATCAAAAGCATCAGTGTGCCCAGCTGATCTCAATGGGATGAAATGCGGGCTGGCTTTTAGTTCCTAGTGTTGTGTTAGAACGGAACGGCAACAGATGGCATTGGGTCGCCATCAATCCATGCTTTCCTAGGAACCCCTAGATCTTCCCCAGGTTTCTAGAAATGTCAAATTAGAGGTCACTGGTTTTTCTGATTTGTTTATGAAGAGAGTTTGCCCCAAGGATTACATACTGACTCTTTCCCTACTCAGCAGATGAATGTGTTCCGTCTACCTTAGTATAATTTGCTAAGCATTTGTACAGTCAAAATTTCCAAATGGCTCCACAAATAAAGTAAAATGTTAAACTTTGAGTTGAGGAATGATAAAGACCCATTATGGAGCAGTGTTTTCTTCTCACAAAAGAATTTCTACCGCTGACTCCCATTGGGTGAGAAGGGACAGCAAATTAATGTCTTGGTCAGGCAATTCCTCTCCCCTCTTTACTTAGGGATGACTGTGAAAACAGAACCACGTCTGTAACATTGCTTTGCAGGTTTATAATGAGTAATTAGAACTTTATTTCAAGTCCTAAGTTTATACACTTTCCTTCCCATGACTGTGACTCTCCTTCAAAGAGTCAGCAGCTTTTTCTGAGCCTGTTTTTAGAAGACTCATAAAAAAGAAGGAGGAGGAGGAAGGGGAGGAGAGACAAAAAAGAAATAGAACCCAGGATAAATCTAATTAGATAGCAATCTGTAACACTTTTTTTTTTGGGGGGGGGTCAGGCTTCTAAATTTGGCATCAGTTAAGTTTTCAGGACTTTGAGATTTATTTAAATGGTCGCTTAAAGTCCAACTTGACAGCAACACACCATTCTGAAGCAGAATATGATGTGTGAGTAGAAATGGGTAGAGGATAAAGACACAGTTTTGAAACTCAAGAAAATGGTAAAATGTAAATGACAGGGACAGACTTAAAGAGTAAGTGTAAATGATACTTTTTACCCATGAAACGGCTTTTGAGTGTTTACCTGAGTTCATTCATTAACAGATTTTAATTAAAAAACAAAGAGTATATATTTCTTAATTTTTTAAAATTATTTTAAACCCTTGTCCAAGGACATTAAATAATCATAGATCACTATGCTCATCTTCTAAATTACTGCAGCCTTCTTAGGGCGACTGGCACTCTACACACACATCAGTCAGGCAGACTATTAAGTTTCTTAAAGGACCCTGAGGGGGTTAGTGTCATAACTCTGGTGGTAGGGTGCTTGCCTGGCATGACTAAAGCTGAGTTCTATTCCTACAAGGGCATAAGTTGCACATGATGATATAACATTGTAATCTCAGCACTTGAGAGGGAGTTCAAGGTCATCCTCAGCTACACAGTGAGTCCTAGGCAGTCTGGGCTGCATGAGACCAGTCTCAGAAAGCAAGTAGCTCTAGGAACATCAAATAGAATCATACAGGCTCTTTATTAGCCAGTAGAAGAGATACAAAGAAGAGCGGGTTACTATTTGAACATTACCTCCTTTCGCTGCTTTGAAAGAAAGGACTTTTAACCAGATCCTGAGTATAGGATCCGCAATAGCATGCTGTTTGTACTAAGGTTTGGATAAGCACATAGTTTTCTTATAAGTTGACTACAACCCACAGAATGGCTGCCTGAAACTGCACTAGAAGGCTGAGCTCTTACTCAAGGAAGGGCTCTGGTTAATTAGCATGGTTTGCCCGACAGGATGCCACAGTTCGACCTGTCCTGGCTGGGACTGAGCCTGGAGGCCTTCCACAGACACAGAAAGAACATATGGCATGGAGAACCAAGACTGGTCTGAAGTCAAAACAAATCACTACTTTTATGTGTTCTGAGTCATACTGGAATGAAGCCCCAGGGTAACAAAAAAGTGGAGACATTAGCCTTGAAAATATTCTTTAATACTTTATCAGACTCAGAACATTAGATATGTTCTGATAAATCACTCTGATTTTTCAGTCACAGGTTATATGAATACACATGAAAGAAATAAAAATACTATGATTCTATTAAAGAAGGTTACCATCATATAAATCTCATTTGAATATAACAAAATCATGGTAAGAATGAGGCATATGTTACTGGAGCAGGGGCTTTAGAGTTCCAGATGTAATAGTCAGAAGAAATTAGTTTCCGATCTACAAAGGAAAAAGAAAATAAATTAATTACAGAAATGTTTAATCTTAGGAAAAACCTAATAAGAGAACAAAGCTATCAGTTTTTTAATTTGTGGAGTATAGTCATGTCATGATAATAACTTTGAATGTTAATATTTATTTTACTCTATTGAGGCTTTATTACTACTTATATCCTATTAAAATGGGTTCATAAATATTTGGGCAAACCACACTGGAACTTACATGAAATCTCTTATTTATACCAAATGTTTATTTTCCCTACATCTCTAATTGATTTTCTAATGAGCCATTACTTTCTTCTTGGGTTTTTTTTTTTTTTTTTTTTTTAATGACCTGTACCAAGTCCCAAATCTAGTCATCGCCATCAGTCAAATCAAAGAGTTGGAAACACAAATCATCACCTGCCTTCCTCACAACACTCTCAGGAGGCATATTTCCTGGTTTCTTATGGTTTGGCTCCAATTTAAGCATTGTGTTTTTATCAGCTTTGCAACTTTGGGCAAATGGCAGCCTCCTAGAAACAGTTCCATACTCTATAAAACTGATAAAATTATGCTTACTTGGAAACATACACATTTTTATTGTGCCATCAGCTTTTTCTACCTTCCTTTATGCCCTTCAAAATGAACACAATATAGGCTACATTACCTTTCCTTTTTCTGTTATTTTGGGAGGGAGCACAGCACACTGTTAAAAGGACAGGCCAACTGCCTGTGTTTGAATTGCAGGCATGTCACTTACTAGCTATAGACCCCTCACCTTATCTCTGTTCCATCAGCGTCCCCAGACATAAGACAGGGATACTAACATAAAAGGTGTGGTGAGACTTAGTGAGTTAATGTACACAAAACACATAGAAATTATATCTGGCACATGGTGAAAATGTTACTACTAAAATGAACATTTTTACTAAACTATTTGCAGAACCAACTTGTATACTCAGTATGAGGCAAAATCAAAGTTTTAAGGAATAAAAGGATTCATTTGGAATGAACTCTCACATTCAGTATTTTTATATAAAGGGCAAGTAGAAGCTATGCATGGTAGCATGCATCTATAATCCTAGTACTTGGGAGTCTGAGGCAAGAAGATGATCAACTGGATGGAGGCCAGCCTGGGCTATATAGTTGAGATCCTATCTCAACAAATGAATAAATAAATAATTAGTTATATTACTGGTTATTAAAGAACAGGTATATTATAGAAACTCTCTATTGATTATTATGCTATCTAAAAATGTACTTAGTAAATATTAATAAAATACTTAAACATATTTTATTTTCTGAAGAGATAACATTTCTTACAGAAGATTAAAGATATTCATCTGTATTTAGACACAATGATAACTGTTCAATATTACACTTTCAAAAAAGAATATACATACTAGGAACATGCCTTCACCAATTCATCTAAAAAAGCAAAAGACCGCCAGAGGAGAAAACACAGGGACAACACAGAGGTTAAAATGCTGGCTTATCTGATTCCACTACACAGAACTTTCTGCCATTCACAGAGATTGCCTAGATCAGAGTTTCCTAGTCCTTCTGAAGCATTCAGGCACAAACTCTTGTCCCACCCTTCCAATTTTTAGGGACCTCAATCCTGAGTCTTAGAAATCTATGTCTGAGGCTAGGGGTGTAGCTCAGTGATAGGACACTTGCCAGGCATGCATGAGGCCTTGAGTTGCATCCCAAGCAGTGTCCAAACCAACCAACAAACAAATGTACTTAGGTCTGAGAATTTTTATAAATTAGATTATTCCTAGCTAGATATATAATCTGACATTCTTCTCATCTACTACCTTTCTATGCCACCTGTATGAATTAAATAATTTTAAGCTTTCCTTTTTTCTCCTGATATATTCATCCAAAAATATATACATATTTTCACACAAGGAATACATACGTATACATATATGCATTTTACAACCAAGAAAGTCAGTGAAGGCAGGAAATCATTTTTCTATTGCTTGCCCATTGGTTGGAGAGAGAAAGTGCTAAATGTTTATGGGATTTACTAAATATAATTAAAATTTTAAAATAATAATCACATTAATTATTAAATCTTATGTTAAGCTATATGCTCAATAAATATAATCTATTCATAAAAATAACATATATATATATATATATATATATATATATATATATGTAATACTGTCATTTCTACTTCAGTAACTTTTTTAAAATCACATTTTAAAAAAACTAGTATGCAGGGTGTGTTTGTGTGTGTGCACATGAGTGTCACTGGTCAGCTTTTAGGAGTTAGTTCTTTTCTTCCACAGTGTGGGTCCCATGGACAGATCTCGGGCCATCAGACTTGACAACAAATATCTTTAGACATTGAGCCATCTGATTGGTCCTGTAGGAACAGAGTCCAAGAATGGAGTTTTGTGAGGGGAATTTTGAGTGCTTGTGAGAAAACTCTAAGAAAACAAGACAAAACTCTTGTGACCTCAGTTTCTTCAAAAAGATGGAATTGTTCTTGGAATGTGATTTTATGTCACTCCCAGGTGTAGTGGATAGGGAAGAGTTTACTTTCAATTATTCATTACATCTGGTTATTATTGTTTATATACCACCATGGAAAAATGTTTTTGCCAACTTGTGGTTTGTCTACCATGTGTGGCTTGTCCTTGTACACTTTCCTCATGTGACTTCTCTTACCCTCAGAGTATAAGCTGTCTGATGCTCTGAATAAAATTGGCTAATGCATGAGACTTTAGTGCACCTCATTTTTAGGCTCTTCTCCCAGGTCCCACTGTCTTTAGAGCACTACACAGTCCCCTATTACTTCTCTGTAATAAACGAGGACACTAAACCTTTATGACATTCACTAGCTTTTTCAAAGTTACAAACACTGAAGTCAGGACAAGAGTTTAATATGACTAGAGCAAAGCAAATCCATATTTACTAATATTAAAGCCCACACCAATTGGGTCCTGCTTATCCAGACTGTATTTAAACAGAAGTCAGAAGACAACACAGAGTACACAAAGGGTTATGTGGGCGTGGACTGAACCACAGACATTTTAATAAAATGGCATTCTTTTCCAATCTCCAAGTCATTACATTTTAATTGTGCCTTAGGTAGTGACAACACAGAACCATTTTCACTCAGTTTAGTTTGGATCAGTACAACTTACATGCACTTATCTTTGGTTTTCCTGATGCAAAAACTTGAACTGAATGTTGATCTGCATAACAGCCAGTGAGTGTATAATCTGAGATCCTAAAATGAAGCTAGGAAATGAGAGTCCATTGAGTGATTATTTGCAAAAATCTTGACCACATTTTCCCTTTACATTGTTAGAGCTACACCTGATAGATAGTTCACCCACGTACTAAAGGACAGTTGTGAGAACACATAGTAAATGTGTTGTTTAAATAAATTTCAGAGTTTCTGGTGTAAGACAGAAGAAAACAAAATCTAGGGACTACTATTGTCAAAACTCTGTTCGCTCTCAAATATCCTAATTTTCCCTATATTTATTTTCATTATTATTACCTTTCCCAGAATTCTCATCTCCTGTGTTGATATTAATGTTTAAGTCTTCTACAACAAGCAATAACAATTCCAAACAGCAATCACTGAAATCTCTGGAAGTGGGGCCCCACTTCACTGATTCCACTTGATGTCTCTGAACTAGTAAACACCACCCTAGGACCAGTCTGGGACTATGCTGCTCTACACAATTCCAGGCTAGCTAGTTGAAACAGTGCATCTTCTTATTACACCCTGGCCAGAGCTTCAGATAAGAACTTCAGTCAAGCATCTCCTGCCACTCAGAGACTAGCTACAAATGTTACATCTAGTCCTCTGGGGACTTTCTGTGGCTTTATTTTTTTTTCCTTACAGGATCCCATTGAGTCACTGTCATGGCCCCATTTCAGTAGGAAGTAATTCTAAGAAAACAATGCTCCTTTTCTCTACAGTTGGCATTAAGGGTATTTTTTTTTTCCTAGTCACTGAAAAAAAAGGGATAATTATCCCTTAGGGTTGGTTTTAAGTTGTGTAGGGCTGGGTATGGAAGGTGATGGTCTGACTCGGGTATCTCTTTTAGATAAGTTTAAGGAAATGGATGGGAAGGGTATGGTTAGGATGGAATATAGGTAGATTAACATATCTTCTTGTGAACAAATTTTAGCAACCATTAGCTATAGATAACTTAAATTGTTAGATTCTTGTATGTTGACTAAGTAGAATCTTCTTTTCTGTTTACAATGTTTTGCACATAGATATAAAAGTATCTATATTTTGTATATTGATACACCTTAAGATGTTTTATCATACTGCACTTTACAGTTCTACCTCTAGTCAAGATATTTCAGTTCTGTCTGTTATTGAGAATTGTATCTATATATAATATATGTATAAATAGTTAAATTTTTTGAAGTCATTGTCTTTGCTAAATTATTTTGGGAAGCTTCAGCCATTGAGCAACTGTGTTTCTCAGAATTACAGATTATAGTTACCAATGCTTCTTGTACTTATGAGGTTCGTCAGACGTAGATATTTGATCTTCAAACACTTCAAAGACTTGAAGAATATGGCATTTAAATGTTTTAATATTAATATTCCATTGACATGAGACACAATTGCTCCTGACAGCACTGAGCTATTCCTAAGAGTATGATGGGCACCGATGACGCTTCTTTTGAACTTAAGATACTGCTGAACCCTGCCAAGTCAGGGTAAGACAGTCTTTCAACTTCCCTGCTTCTGTGTTGGTCAGACAGTTACTCTAGGCCTTAGCCAAAGCTGGCTGCCGCTACGCTGCTGTGAGACTTTGGGTGACTGTCCAGGTAGTCTGCTGTTTCTGTCTTCATTTGCACATTTTGGAAGTCACTCACTTGCACTTCCTGCCTACCCTAGTAATGTTATCTTCCTTCTCAAGTCTTTGATGAGGTTGAAGATTAGACTGTCACAGTTATTGTCCTCTGTTTTTAGACAGAAATATTAGGTGCAACACTTAAACTTTCCAGTTTAGGACAACTTTGTAGTAATCTCTGTTATGCCTTTACCCTAGGACTGCACATGTAGTTCTTGCCAATTGCTCTATGTTGCTTCACTGGCAGTAGGTCTTAAATTGTGTTTCCTTTCCTTTCCTTCTCTTAGATACTTGATATTTTTATCATTGTATAGTTTTGTATCAAGCCTAAACCTTCTTCTTTAGACTAAAAGAGGAATTGTAGTGATATATTTGCCTGTGCAGCTGTAACAGTGGCCATGCCTTTTGGGCGTTGTTACAGATGTGGACATGACCGGATAAAGGGAGAGGATTGGAAATTTCAGGTCATGGAGAGCATTAGGGAAGCAGGGTCTACATCCCTGGAGCAGGAATGCTGTGACAGTCACTTACTGTTTCTTGTGTAAGTTCTTTTCCCAAAATAAACTCCACTTCATTTATACTGGATCTGGTGAATCCTGATTTCCACACCTTCAGTGAGGTACTTAGTACTCAGTATACAGCACACAGTGAGGTAGTTAATACTCAGTATTCAGAAGCAGAGCATACATGTGAACTCAGAACTGTTCTTTTTTGCCGTACCATCTGATAGATTATAGTGTTTTCTCCTTAGCAGACTATCTGTGATAAATTCTGGTCACGCTCTTTTTTTAATTAATTAATTTTTATGTGTATAGGTGGTTTGCCTGCATGTATGTCTGTGTCTAATGCCCTCAGAGGCCAGAAGAGGGCACTGGATGCCCTGAAACTGGAGCTGCAGCAGCCTGTGACCCACCATGTGGGTGCCGGAAATGGAGTCTGAGACCTCTGGAAGAGTGGCAGCAACAAGTTCTTTTATATGTAGGGATGTATATGCTTTAAAACAAAGCACATAAATGCAATAATGACAAGAAGGAATATCAATTTATTTCATGCTTGGGAAATGGCATGCTCTACTTAATTTTTTTGATAGCCAAAATCTAATTTTTACAGAACTGTAGTCAAGTTATTCCTTCCCTTATCTACAAAACATTTCTAAAATAAAACCCACAGCTCTTGGGTTCCATTGGTGATGCTGGGTTATCGGTGAAGGCCAGCACTACACTCTGCCGTGATGATGAGGCACTAGCACTTTTCCAGTCTCCTTTTGCTGTGATTCTCATCTGTTCATCTGTGTTGGTAAACACCTCATTTTGAACATCTCCCCCTACACTAAACCAAGGGCTTGCACATTCTTGGCAAGTCCTCCATCTCCAAGTTACATCCCAAGCCATATACTTTTTATCCTCTGTTTTCTCCAAATTTTTCCCATTTTGTGTGTGTGCATGAGTGTTTAATAATTTTTAGATTGTAATATTCTCTTCCTTACAGTGATTCACACATAATTGGAAAGCAAAGAGCTTGTGCTTGCTTAGGTGTTATAATTTTCAGTGCTGGTTAGGTATATAAGGTCCATTTCCATATATATGCTTTTATTACATTATACATTTTAATATATGCCTTTGATCAGACTGGAGCTGGTTAAGTGAAAGAAATGAACAGAAAATTCTAAAAAACTATCCTTAGTTTTAAAATGGAGTAACATTCCATATTTTCTTTTGGACCTTAAAACAAAGTAGTAGACAAAGTCAAAGCTAACACAGAAAAAATGAATTCTTAGTAGTGTATTCACAACTTCACTAATGGTTGCTTTTATGAATATTGATCTTGCATCTTTGACTTCTCTGATAGAATTCTCTTTTCCTATAAACTTTCTGGCTATTCCTTCAATTTTCCTTACTGATTCTTCCAAATCTTTCCTTATTTTCCTTTATTTCTATCATCTTACTCATTTCATTGTATCAACCTTGTCTTTTCAATGGGTACTCCTAAACCCTGTCCTTCCTATGTAGAACTTCAGTCCAAGCACTGGTTTCTGAATCTTGTTTACTCCTTTCACTCTCTAAGTTACTTAAAAAAAAAAATACTTCATGTTTGTGCAGGCATGTGTATTGTGTGTGCCGTGCTGTGTGTAGGCACAGGCACACACATGCCACATGTGGATGTAGAGGTCAGTCGACAATCTTTGAGAGCTGCTTCTTTCCATCCTGAGTTTCAGGGACAGAACTGAGGTTAATGCTGTGACTGCTGGGCCATCTTGCTGGCCCTTTACCCATTATCTTGTCCTAGCGTTTGCCGTGACCAGGACTCATGTTTTCTCTGAGGCACCAAAAGTAGTGAGTCCTGATTAGTGAGTCACCAATCCACACTATTGAAAATGCCCTAGAGATCAAGGGCTGCATCTTTGAATATAAATCGAATCTGATAACTAAGAGTTTGGTAGTTTAAATGGGAGTGTTTAGGTTATTCTCAACTACTTCCCTTAAAATTTGAGTATTTAGTGAAACAGAAAAATGGCCAAATGTGGTGATGATTCATGCTTATAATCTGAACATTTAGGAGAGGCTTAAAGTCAGCTAGTGTTACATAGGGATTTGGAGACCAGTTTGTGCTAAGGCAGAGATCCTGCCATAAATAAATAAACAGACAAATAAATAAATAAATAAATAAATGAAACACAGAACTGCTCCCCCATATCAACAAATGTTTAAAAAAAGGAATTTAGCTACACAAAAGGCACAGAATTATTTAAAAATTGTTAGAAAACACTAAAACTCAAATATATATATACAATTTAGAAATGAATTAAGGGTTTTTGATGTAATGTTTCATACATTTACCTTTACATATGCTGTATTTCCAATGCAAATGTGATCAAACGGCTGCTTGTTATGGCCCTTAACTCCAAACGTTAGAGTCCCAGAAAGACTAATTTCCATTGATTTGGGGAACTTCTGGCCTAAGACACAAATGTACCAACCAATTATTCTAAAACAGAAGATTATATAGCAAATGAGAAAAAAAATCAATAAACAAAGCCTTGCTCACCAATAATCCAGACCAATAAACTTTTTTCTCGAAATACCTCAAGTTGACCAAAACTAACTTTGTATTCCACATGGGTAACTGGACCTCTTAAAAAAAAAAAAAAAGAAGAAAATCTTAGATATAAATTTTAAAGTGGTGAGTCAAATCTTGTTTCTGTTATTTTTACAGCAGAAAAGCAAATCTGTATTCCAACTTCAGAAGACAATGAACAATGAATACAGATCTTAGAAAACAGCAGATATCATATAAACATTCATAGTAACTATGTATTACAATACTATCTCTAGAGACAATCATAAAATAGAGATTATATTCGTATTGGTAGAACACTAAAATTGTAATTTTATTAATTAATTGCACTTTGTAAAGAGCTATCCTGAAGAATACATTGTAAAAGTAGAACTTATCTATGCTCTAATTGGCTAATTCACCTGGTCGTTGGTGGTTAAGACTAATTTATATGTAGACTTCGGGGAAACTGATAGAATAGATTCTTTTCATGACTACATTTTAAGTCAGAGTCAGTATTCATTTGGATTTTTAAAATATGCTAAATGAAGAGACATTTTATTATGGGGCAGTACGACTATATTAGGGAGGACTGCAATCATGTGTCTTATTATTTATCCCTACCTGTTGAAAAACGGTATATGAGCTTCACAGATTTCAAAATTATTTTTTACACTTTCATGAAGTTTTAAATTAACTGTTATTTTTAGTTGTACTTCTTCTTCTTCTTTCATGTGATAAGAACCCAATATTGGTGGGACAGGGACCTGAAAACAGACACAACTCTTAACATAATTCTCATGCAAATGAGTCTAAGATACGAATGGTGACAGGGGGAAAAAGCCCTGTAGTAATATATTATTTACTAGATACATACACATATTATAGACATATAAAATATATACTTTATAATGGTTTTAAAACTAGGGGTCTGCCAGTCTAATAGCTGGGAAACCAGCATAGGACCGCCCCAGACCCCCTGAACATAGGTGTTAGGAGGACTGGGCAATCTATGGGGCCTCTGGTAGTGGATCAGTATTTACCCCTAGTATACAAATGGACTTTGGGAGCCCATTCCACATAGAAGGATATTCTCTCAGCCTAGACACCTGGGTGAAGGCCTAGGCCCTGCTGCAAATGATATGACAGACTTTGAAGACTCCTCATGGAAAACCTCACTCTCCCTGGGGAGCAGAAAGGGGATGGGAGGAAGGTTAGTGGGGGGGGAGGGGCACGGGAAAAGGTGAGGGTGAGGGAACTGGCATTGACATGTAAAACAACCTTGTTTCAAATTTGAATATAAAACAATTATCAAAAACAAAACAACAACAAAAATACTAGAGGTCTGTTCTACACTGCTTTCACAACAATGATGGATCTACATTCATTCTGAGGGCAGATTATTGTACCTCTCTGAAAAGAGATGAGAAAGCTGTCTTACAGCACACGCTTGTTTCTGTTCTTGCTCTGCCACGTAGCACAGGTTGTCCTCTACATATACTTATGATATCTGTTCCAGATGCTCCTTTCCTTTCCGATGACTACTGTTTCTCTTTCCAGGCCCTAGCTCACTAATAGTTAACAGGTCATTAATGACTGACTCAAGAGCATTGTATGCTGGTGTGAGCTAATCATCTTATTGGTGCATCTGAAACAGGACACAGGGAGATGCTCTCTTATATGAAGGTCCTAGAGCTGTAAGAGCATGTGTAAGCAGAGAAGCCCAAAAAACAGGGGTTACTGGGAAGGAGAGGTGAGACAAGCAGGAGACTTCCAGTGCAGAATAATTTTAACTTTGGTTCTAATTTTCAGGTAGCCTAGATCTATTTCTTCTCTTGAATAATGAGAATTCCTGTTGACCTTCCAAAATTAATTCTTCTAGTCAACCTGGCTTGAACAGGATTTTCTAATCTAACTGGTTGATAAGTAATATAAGAGACAAATGACATGATATAGTAGAAAGCATGTCAGGCTTTGGAAATTCGGAAGACCTGGGTTCAAATCTGGGCTCCACCACTTATCAGTTAGAGGATTTTGTGCAAATCATTTAATTTCTCTAAGACTTTCACCATCTATAAAATGGAGATTATAACATCTATCTTAAGATTTGTTGAAATTACTAGGAAAGACACACAAAGAGTCTAGGACAGTGGCCCCTGCCCCATCCTCTCCCCACAGTGAGCACAAATAGCTACTGCTAATACTACCTGTTTAGTTAGCAAAGATTTCCTGGGGTTAGAGTTATTTTGTGCTTGTATTCAAAACCATGACTAAATCATACCAGGGTCTATCCTGTAACCTTGGATTCTTAGCTAAAGATTAAAAAGAAAAAAAACTTCAGTGACTCTGAAAACTAATGCTACTACAGACATCAGAGATAAGAGGTAACCTATTCAAAGAAGTGAACTTTTATCTTCACCCACCCCTTCCTGTCTTGTAAATAACTGATGAAAAATTCTCATCCAGGAGCATTTATCAGTGTATCAGCAAAGTCTCAACTTTTCTGAGATGGTTTACCTGAGAAGTATAATGGCATAGGTTGAATGACTCTAAGGGTGGAGTGAATGGGAATTTATAAGGCCCACTGAATGCAGAATCATCCATTGTATCAATGCTACTGGAAGTCAGAATGGCTGAGTCAAGAGAAGTCACACAAGGATGAACGATAATATCTTGAAGTGGAGACCCATTGGTAGGGAGATTCAAGCTGATGGTAACATTTGGCATGATTCCTTCCAAATCACACTGTAATGCAGGCAGAAACAATTATTAGCAAAATCTTACAACAGAGCAGCTTATGTGAGGCTTTTCTGAATTCAAGTCACTTCCCCCATTTTCTTTTTAGGCATTATTTTCTGTGCTGTTTTCTGATTAACAATTGGATACACCATAGACCCCTTGGCTTACCTTTAAGCTCCTATAAAAGCCAGTTCAAATCCACTGGTTTCTCTCAGGCCCCTTTGCCACCAGGCCCTTACAATGTTACAGCTAACTAGCTGTATCTGACTTTCTTTCCTCTAGTACAGTGGCTCTCAACCTGTGGGTCACGACCCCCTTGGGTGATGAACAATGGTTTTTACAGGGGTTGCATATCAGATATTTACATTACAATTCATAACAGTGGCAAAACTACAGTGATGAAGTGTCAATGAGAACAACTTTATGGTTTCAGGGTCACCACAACAAGAACTGTATGAAAGGATCGCAGCATTAGGAAGGTTGAGAACCACTGCTTGAGTCTCTCCAATCTTCATCAATGCCAGTCACACTGATGAATGGTCATTCCACTTTTGTTATATTGAATCCAGATTCAGACTTGAGTCTCTCCAATCTTCATCAATGCCAGTCACACTGATGAATGGTCATTCCACTTTTGTTATATTGAATCCAGATTCAGACACTTCAATGGTTCCTCTTTCATTTGGTATACTTTTAAGTTTTTCATTGTTTGGTTCCCATCTAAGTGGAATCTTCTACCCCTTGGTTTATGTTACAGACATACAGAAATCTTGCATTTTTCTGAATAAATAATACTGTCTTGTACTTCCACATGCATCTTAACAGTAGTCCTTGCCGGTGGGTTTTCTCCCTGTATAGTATTTCACTCAGTCTGGTGTGATCATTTCCTGGAGAAGGGTACTTTCTTGACAGTCTGAGTTTGATCACCAGGACCCATCTGGTAGAGGGAGAGACCAACTCCCTCAAGTTGTCGTCTGACCTCCACGTATGCACTGTGGCATGTGCACCCACACTCATTACCACACACACACACACACACACACACACACACACACACACAATGAAGGTTTAAAAGAAAGCCATGCACTCTTCACACCTAGTTCATGTGATTGTGCAAGCCTTACACTGTGCCATCTTACTGATGTTTACTTTTGCCTGGAGACACAGGGTCTTCTTCCCTGTGTGATTGGGTTAGTTTGCCAATGACAGGGTAACCATGAAGGATTTCATTATTCTTGGGAGGTGGGGGAAGGCAGGCAAGACAGCTCCATAGGTCTTTCCATGAGCTCCTACGGTATGACTACAAGGACCAGATGGAGTACTTCTACAGCCCTCTCCTTAAATTCCTGCTTTGAGGTTCAACAGACTGAAATGGCAGCTCGCACTTCTCTGTAAACTCCTCTACCTATTTCAGTCTCTAGAATGAAGTCTTGAGTGACTTGTTTCTGTGATCAAAAGAAAAGATTTATTCTCCAGCTCCTCTGGTACCTGAGAAGTCTTAATGACTTTACTTCATAGATATATACTAACAAACCTTACTTGTGTGTGTACAAATGAGTGTAGGGAGAGAAGTCTTCCTTTGCACCTTAATTCTAACTTGACATTTACTTCTTGTTTTATTTTTAATTATGTTTATGTGTGTGAGTCTCTGTGTGTGTGTGTGCAGTGAGAACAGTGTCTGTAGAAGCCAGACACAGAAGACAGTGGATCCCTGGGAGCTGGTGTTACAAGCCTTTAGTTGTGAGCTGTCTGGTATGGGTGCTGAGAAGCAAACTTGGGTTTTCAGCAAGAGCAGCAAGCACTCTTATTTGCTGAGTCATCTCTCCAGCCCTTATTCATTTTGTAAAGTACTGGATCCAAGTTCAGTGGCATTGTCTGGTTAGACACACAAGGCGTTTAATAGTAGGATGCAGCAGGCAAAATGCTTAAGTCTAGATGCTATACAGTCTGCACCATGCAGTGATTACTTGTCACCATGTAATCAGTGCTTCTTTCTCTTGGTTTCCCTCCTGTAGCCTTAAGTTCTTTCAAAGCAAGAGCTGTTCTGGGCTTTTTCCTATATCCATTGCTATTTATTTGCAGGAGGTCCTAAAAATGTTTCCATTTTATACCGTTTTCCAATTTTGAACCTCATTTCTTCCCCAATGTTAACATAGAACCTTTTACTTTGGAGTGTTTTAAATGTGTGTTTAATTTTATGGTATGTGTTTGCCTATGTGTTTGTATGTACATCACATACAAGCAGGAGCCCACAGAGGTCAGAAGAGGTGTCAGATTCCCAGGAACTGGAATTAGAGAGTTGTGAGGAACTATGTGGGTGATGGGAACCAAAGGCAGGTCTTCTGCAAGAGCAGTGAGCCATCTCACCTTGTAATGGGTGATCTTCCATTTAACACATATGAATTCATTAGTGTATCTGCTTCAAACTTATGTACTTCAACAGTAGGCAGGCACTCTGAATTGTGCTGAGGTATAATTAGTAGCTTAGAAAGGTCTTTTCTTCCTTCTTTGTGACAATTACAAGAATATCAATCAAATTTGAAAGTTTAAAATGACAACTCTTTTTAATAGAGAATTTAAAAATATTGCCATATTATTACATTTGCATATTAGAATAAAATGTTTTTTGTTATTTGAGATAATAAATGCAGATAGTAAATAGTATTAAAATTTAAAACATCATTTTTTGTTCACTAAATTTTTCCCTAGCAGTGTATTATTCACAATGGGATCAAAGAAACTGCACTATTATGGAAAGCTTCAATAAATTACCCTCTATTTAGTCACTTAAAATACTATAAGTACAGTTTGGGGATTGCCATTCTAGAAGGAATCTCTATACTGCTTTTTAAAACAGTTTGGCAGATGTGAATCTGGACTTCAGAACTAGGAACTATAAAAGAAAAAGGCACATAAAAAGTTATCTTACATTAAAAAAGATAGGAGATTTACAAAGTTATGTGACTTTCTAAGGACATGGGACATTTATAAATAAATGACAACCTCAGAGAAACATTAGTGTTAGGTTGAGGTATACTCATACTTCCTATAAACAAGGAACCAGGGTCAACTAACCAATAAACAGAGAAATGTATACATCATGTTAGTCACCATACACACACACACACACACACACACACACACACACACACACACACAAAATCCAGGATTGAATAGTGGCCTTTTCTAATTTTTAGTACATTTAACTCATGAGAAAAAAAAGACTCAGCTACTTTCAGAGTGATGAATGACACAATCTATGATTTTCAAGCTTCTTAAAATAGCACTTCCAATAGGATGAATAATTTGAATGCAATTTTGAGCATGACAGAAATTTTTAGCATAGACAAAACTTTTAGGTTACTTTAATTAGAAAAAAAGAGTCAATTTTCCTGTCAAATTTTGTTCTTAAAATTTACATTATTTATAGATCTTATATATAGTAACTGAACATTAAAGTTACAAATTATGTAAAATAAAGGAGTAAAAAAGATATTTGAGAAGACTATTAATACGTATTTGTAGTGTTTAATTGGAGGACTTTGAGTTTTGATCATTATTAAACCTGATATTAATCACTGTTATCTGTATTGACATTTCTACTGTTTTCCCCATTTTCTAACTTAGGACCGAAAACTCTAGTTTTTTAAATAAAACAAGAACCCTCTAGTTATCTGATGTAAAGTCAGAGGACTCGTCAACTTGAGAAATGGAAGCGATGATGTTAAAGTGTATTCACAAGCTCTCCCAAACTCCTCTATTCCCACAGTGGACCTGATCCCTTATCTCTCCTGTGTGACTAGACTTAATGATTGGCTTTGCATCTAACAAACAGAATGTAGTAGAAATGACACCATGTGGCTTTTTACAGAATACTAGTAAAAACAATAGCTTTATCTTTCTCTCTTCCACATAAGAACACACACTATTTAATCTGAAAGAAGCCAGTCACCAAGTTGTGAGGACACTTAAGCAGCCAGTGGAAAAGTCACAAGGAGTGGAACCAAGGCCTCCTTCCATCTGCCAGCACTGACTTCCCAGTCATGTGAGTGAGTCATGTTGCAAGCAGATACTGAATCATACTGAATCTTAGCCAGTTCTTCAGATGATAATGGCACCGACCAACATCTTGACTATAGGCTCATGAAGTTCTACACTGGAGGATCCCAGCTAAGCTGTCCTAAAGTTCTGACCCACAGAAACTATGAAGAAAGTGTCTATTTTAAAGCAATGAACAATTCATTACATAATAGTGATTAAGTAAACAACTTGTAAAAACTACAGAGAACATATGATTTCATGGCTACAGATAAACATAACAAGCATATCGTTTAAAAAATGTAAAATACAAGCTGCAAAATGTACTGTTCTTCGGGTGTTAAATGGTATGACAAAGCGAGTCCTAGAGAAAAGCTCACCTTGCAAGAGACTGTTCCAACGACTTGCCATGTGTCCGCTATATCCTGTTTACCATACTGCATGCATTTTACTTTTTCAATGATAGAAATACAAATTTGTGGTTTTCCTTTGTATGTTCCAACTTTCCAGGCTGGCTGTTTTTGTGGCTGAGTCACAGACAAGAAATTAATACTATTCAATGAATTCTGCAAGTTAGCATCCAATAAAGTACCCAATGGACAAGCCTGAAGAATCAAGTCAGGCAACTGACTCAGTTTTGTGTTTAGGTCAGTGTCATTTTTCTGACTTGAGTAAAGAAAATCCTGTATCCCAAAAAGCAGTTCCAAGCCTTGTGAAACTCCACTAATATTAATTAAAGATGGGCGAGGGGATAGAACTTGTTCAACTAGTGGAACACTTGCAAATATCATATCATTCCTCAGAAAAGCAATGACTGGCCAGAGCTCTTCACCTCCTACTAAAAGCCCATAAATAGATGATTTATTGACGTGTGAACAGCTATCACGCCTCTCCACAAAGTCTTTATCATCATCCAGTAGTCTAAGTTGAAAGAGTAATGCCTTAAGAAAGGGACCATCTTCGGGTACAGGAACATAATTCTTTCCATTGAAGATTTTGGCTCGCTTTTCAACAGTAGGATATCGTCTGCATTAGAGGAACAGAAACATTACAAGTGATTCTTCCAAGTAAAATCAATGAGAGGATTAAAAGGCTTTAAAACAGAAGGCAAACAGTCATAACTATAACACATAAAGCAACAAATAAGTAACATACACTACCAAAGGAAAAACCCTATACCATTAAACATGCTAACTTCTGACTGGAACAAGTGCTTCATATTTAGTATGTTATTTCAAATGATAAGCTATACCATATTCTATGAAATATGACCCAATTTAATTAGTTTTTTTAAACAGGTAGAGTACATTTTTCTAATTCAAAACCTTTGTTTTTCAGCCACTCAGATTCCCTCTTGGTAGATGTCATGGTTAATCCAACTGTCAACTTGATGGGATTTAGTGTTGTGGGATATTGATTGCACTATGAAACTCTAAGACTGTGTTAATAAAATTAACATTGGGTCAGGCAGCAGAGGCAGAGACTAGTTGACTAGAATTAGCCATGGCAAGTATGAAGGACCCAGGATACAGATATACAGAATACAGAATACAGAGAGAAGCACAGAAAGGAGTAGGGAGGGAATTAGAGATTCAGGGTCTTTGGTTTGAGTGAGTGAGAGATGCTTCCCTTGACAGGTCTCCAACCAAAAAGGAAGGTCAGCTGGTTACTTCTTGGCTTCTTTGATCTAGCAGGTTTTCACCCCAACATCTGACTCCCAAGGCTTTACTAGTAAATGGAATAGAGACTTAGTTAAAACCTTCATTTGGTGGTTGCAGCCTAGCTGGTGACCACAGGACTGGAAATCCCACCAGGCTGCAGTCTGAGTGGCAGGATGCTAACTGCCGGGTGGTGGGGTGCAGAGGGAAGTTAAAATATTAGTAGATCGAGGTGCAGCCACTAAGCCAACAGAAAAACAATTCAGTCTGCATAGAAACCTGTTCTAGATTAGGCTGGGGTTGGAAGTCTCACCCTGAACATGGGTGACCTCACTCCATGGGCTGGGGTCTTGAACTGAATGAAATGGAGAGATAGAGAAGTAGCACCCACCTCTCTCTGCTTCCTGACTGTGGATGCAAGGTGACCAGCTGCCTCAAGCTCCTGGACCATGCCTTCTCCATGCCTTGAAAGGATCCTGTCAGGGTCTCAGCTGGATCATTATAGCTATTCTGCCTCAACCCAGAGGAAATAGCCACACTACTGCGTATTCTCTACATAAATGTCAAAGAGTAGTGGCTATCAGAATAGATTCTGTTAGTTTGTTACTGTCCTTTAAATTTAGGTTTATTACACATTTCTTTACATCTTCCCAGGAAAGGTTAAGGAACATATGTTAATTTATATCTGTTAGCCTTAACATCAGCTCCAAGTGGTCAGAAATCTGAAAATGTAGACCTTTACAAAGCTATCAATTTACTTAATAAAACAGAATTAAAGAGACACATAGATGAATCATGTGACCTTCTAACTTGCTACCTCCATAGAGATGTAGTGAAATTCACCTGAATGTATCTGAATATCTTCTAAAATATATAATATGAACAAAAAGCATTCTTCTTGTTCTTTTGCTGCAGCTACTGCCTATGAAACACAAACATGAGACTCAGAGCCCAAGTGGAGTTAATTGTGAGAGGGGAGAGAAAGAGGAGGAGTTGGTGGCCAAGCGAAAGCAGGGGAGAGAGAAGAAGAGTGAGAGAGACCGAGCAAGAGAGAAAGAAAGAGCAAGAGAGAAAAGGCAAGAGAGAGGCGCACTTGGTGCGCTTGCTTTAAAAGGGAAACTTGCACATGCCTGGCAGCCAGGTAAAGCCTGATGTAGGGATGACATAGCCATGAGCAGCATCCTGCCTATCATTGGGGGCGGGGTCAGCAGACTGCTTGTTCCCAACAATTCTAAAAAATGAATATGACTTTTCTTTTAAAAATATTTGCTTTTGCCATCTTTCAATTATGTATATATATGTGGGAGTGGGTATGTGCATTTGAGTGCAGTGGGCTTTGGAGTCCAGAAGATGTTGGATCCAAGTGGTCCTTTGGAAGAGCAGTACATGTTCTTAATTACTGAGCATCTCTTCAACTCTGCATGACTTCTTCAAAAGACTTACTTTTTCAATTAACAAAAGTCTCCAATTACAATGTTGAAATACAAGATCTACACATAAAATCAGAACATTGATGCAAAAAAGACAAAGTTATAGAACAGAGATAGACCAATGCTTATATGAAGGAATATAGCAAACATCAATATTGAGCCAATGAAGAAAAGATGTGGGGCTTACAGGATGATGTCAGGAAAACTGTCAAATAGTATAAAGAAAAAGTGAAATTGCCACTTAACACCATATCCAAAGCTGTACTTAACTGGATTAAAGGCTTAAATCTAACAGACAAAATTATTCAGAATGAATAAAATGGTATCTTGGCAAAGTAAAGGTAATTCATAGAAAAGGAAACCCAATAGACTAACAAATATTGTTCCTGGAAGACATACAAATAGAAGTTAGATCTTCTTTGATGGTAAAAATTAGAGTGAGAGTCAGGAAAATATGGAAATTCACTAATTCCTAGTGAATGTGTTAGCATTCAGGGAAGCTACTTGTCAATATTTTGTCAAAATCAGTATAGGCATGTCCTAAGGCCATTTGAAGATGTCTGCAGTAGCATGGTTCTGAATGGGACAGATAGCTTGAATCTATTAAGCAACATGACCAAAGAAAACCATATCTTCCTACAGACCAAGTATCTAGATTGACAGTGTACAATATGGTAGACACTAGGTACATGTGCTTTTTAAACTAAGCAAAACTAACAACTGAGGTGGATTGCACATTTTTAATCTCAGTACTCAGGAAGCAGAGGCAGGAGGGTATCTACGAGTTTGTGGGCTAACCTGATCTACACAGTGAGTTCTAGGTTAGCCAATGGTACACAGTGAGACTGTCTCAAAACAACAAAAATCTAACAACTGAGCTCCTCATTTACAACCCCCTTATGTGCTCACTGGTTCATAACATTAGCATAGACTTAGAACCCATCCCCTTTCTATCATGTGGGAAGTTCTAGGGTATTGTGCTGCTTTCTGAGAACACAAGACTACTCAATAAGACATGTGTCTCAGAAATACTGCCGAGAACAGGAAACAGCCCCAAGAATGACAAATTTCATCACATGAAATTAAAACATTTTTGCAAGACAAATAAAACTACAAGCAATGTGGAGAGACAGCCTACAGATTAGAGAGAAAAGAAAAACTTAGCCAGCTATAATTTATAAAGCAATTAATACCTAGTATAAAGAACTGCAGAAACTAAACACATAGACACACACAACCCCCCAACTTCCAATCAATAAATGGTGAAATGAATATGAATAATCAGTTCTGAAAAGAATAAACAAAAATAGCTAAAACATATTTTTAGAAGGCTACATGACTGCCTTTCATATTTTAAGTTACTGTATAGTTCTCTCCATGGAATTATTTTGGTGAAATATGGCAAAGTCTTATAATGGGACTAGATCACTTAAGTCACATAGGAAAAAGTGATTGTAATTTAATATTTCATAGTTCCTTCTACTTTGTTCAACCACTACAAGCTGCACAAAAAGATTTCTGGAAATCGTATATACTAATAAGATGAAAACAAGTCTATTGCTCTGAAAGCTGAACAATCTAAAACATGTCTAGTGGTCAGTAAGTTCTTTGTCTTTCATCATTTCTGTACCGGTCTCAAACAGATCAATTTTTAAGACAGAATACAGTCGGTTATGGTAGCCCACACCTTTAACTCCAGCACTCCGGAGGCAGAGACAGACAGATACCTGTAAATTCGAGGCCAGACTGGTCTACACAGCGAGTTCCGGCATAGCTAGGGTTATTTTTGCCTCACAACAACACAAACAACAATAATTGTAATATTAGTGAACATGTAGCAACTTGTGTCAAGCAACTCATTTCTTACAACAATGTGAGATAAGGTTACAATATACAAAACTAACTTGCCCAACCGCACTCAGCTAGCAGTTCCTGGAAGATCTGGTATTCAACGATCCATCCTAGGCCCCATCATGCCTGAGGATCCAGACCTGCATTTACCTGGAGAACTTGACAGTGCCCCCGAGAGGAGTTCCCGGTTCGTGACGTATGAGCCACACTGCCCGCTGGGCCATGGTAAGCCACCCTAGTATCAGATCATCACAGAAACTAAGGTCGCCATCCAGCCAGAGCAGATCGCCTTCTGAATGGACTCCCCCAGGGAACGTCGGAGTTCACCCTGCGCCGCTACAGCTAACGGGAGATGCTCGCTCCTCCCGATGAGGTGACTCCAGTCTCCCTGTCCGTCCAGCGGTTCAAAACACACCTCCGAAGGTCCTAAGAACCGGCACCCGGAATCTCAAAGGACTGCAATGCTCGACCTTCCACTTCCGGGATGGCGGCCCGAGAGGCTCAAGGCGCGATGCTCGCTCGCTCACAGACGAGCGTCTCCGCGGCCCGCCCGCCGCTCGCTCCTCTCGCCCGCCCCGCGAAGTCCGCCGGGCGCGCGCAGCTCCACTTCCGGCGTGCGAGGCGGTGACAATGGGAGCGGCGCGGGCGGCGCCGGGAGGCAGCTGACAGGCGTCTGCGGCTCCGCTTCATGGCCGCTCTCCCGCGCAGCCTGCGCTGTGTGAGGACCCGGGCAGTCCTCGGTGGTCTGCAGCCGGGGCCGGAGGCGGTAGGCCGAGCTGGGACGTGTGAGCCGCGCCGCTGAGGCGCAGCATGTGAAGCGGAGACGGCCTCGAGCGCGGGGCGAGCCTCTCAGCCGGCCGGCATGGCCACGACGGCCGAGCTCTTCGAGGTGGGTCCCGGGGCTCCGCGGGCGGCGGCGGGGGAAGGGCGGGGACGGAGCGGCTGCGGGCCGGACGCTGGCTGGGCCCGCTCGGGTCGCGGGGTTTCTGCCGTTCCGGCTACTGGACGGGGAGTGGGCTGGGCTGACCCCGCAGCCCCAGGTGGGCGAGCCGCGCCGGTGCTGCGGGGGCCACCTGAGCTGGGGACTCTAGGCGGCTTCTCCCTGGGGACGTTCCTGCAGGGTAGAAGTGGCACTGGGGCGCCTGCCAGCTCACCTTACAGTCGAAAAGGCTGGGAGGATTGTTTTTAGGAGCATAAAGGCCTACTTAGCCTCGCCAGCTCAGGGGAGGAACACATCTTAAGGCATGTAATTGCTGTGCTACCACCCAACTGCTAGTTAAGAGAATGCTTCAGGTGCGAGAGGCTGTGGGCGTTCAGATGCGTTTCTCGAGTGTTTCGATGTTTAAACTTGGAAATTGCCATTTGTGGTATTCATTGTAAGAAGCTGTGATGTTTGAGATGATGGAATGGTATTGCAAAATAATGAAACAGTGTTTCCTTATGTGGAAAAAAAAATAGAAGTAGAGGTATGAAGTGAAGGATACTCGGTCTCCTCTATTGAGGCGGGATTACTTCCTATCAACAGGAGTGTAAGTTGTAGAGAAACTGCGGTTCACAGTTAAGTATGTCACCACGGGTGAAAATTGTATCGTTTTGGTTTGAGCTTCAGAATGGATTGTGGCTTGAAGTTTAAATGCCCTAGTTTCCATTACAAATTGAACATTTTTCAATGTTATTATTTTTTTTTTTGTTACTACACATTGACTTGCAGTCATCCCTAGCATAGATAATTGCATTTGTTCAGAGAAATAGTGTGCTTGAATTGTTAAGTTACAGTGAAATTGATTTGAGTGAAGGGCAGGGTAATGATTACACTTACGAAAAATTTATTTCTTTTTCTCAGACATAGTGTCTGAAGATGCATAATATTAGCGTCTCTAATCACAAAATTCTGCCATCTGTTTATTTACACTAGGTCAGGGAAGCATCTTAGTCCTCTGAATGTTTACTGTGTATCCTACATCAAAATACTATGTAATTTTGTAATCCCTTGTGTATATTTTTACATCTTTACAGGATTTGGGATATTTAAATAATGGGTTTCACAAGTCACTTTTTAACAGAAGTCTCTTTGACATTCATAGTTTTGTCTTGGATCAAGCTCTAATTTCTTCTTTAAATGACCAGATGAGTCCAGTAACTTGTTTGAAAATTTGTTTTTCTTTCCCAGGGATGAAGAAAAGGGGGTGAAGAAATGTTTGTTTGTTTTCTAGGTCTTGCCATTTAGTAGAGTTGTTAAAGTTGTTTAGCTTAGTGAGATCAGTTCTGTTGAGGAAGCCAAAGATGACATAGCAATCCGAAGTTTCTTAAGACTAATAAACATATTGATAGGTCTTATAACTGGTGTGACCCCCCCTCCTGTTGTCATATGTATTTTGTCTCATCAAAATTGAAAACATAGTAATAGTTAAACTGAAATTGTGTATAATTAAGTCTATTTGTCTTTTCCTGGATGGCTGTGAGTCTAACCCTGCAAGAACTCTGCTTGTGAATTTTTCATTCCCCGAGTGAAAAATTGACTTCTTTAGAGAGGGGAGAAGGAAACAGGCCCTTTCCTGCAGCTACTGCCATAAATAAATATAGGTTGTAGATCTCCCACTTCCCTTTCTAAGTCACAGCTGGAGAACTGGGGGAAACCAGGCAGGATGTAGTCAAGGATATTTTGTTTGTATGCATCCTGGTTTTCATGTACTATATTACATAGAATTGTACTTTCATTTTCCATATTAGAGAAATTAAATGGAAACAAAGTAGAGCACTGACCCCATGAAATTCCATTGTTAACTCAGCTTCTTGTAAAATCTTATTATTGGTTTGGTGACTCATCTTTTTTAACAACTTCTGACAATAAAATCAGATTTTAGTCAGTTGACAGAATGGTTTATTAAAAGATGACTCAGTGACTAAAATAATGTATATCCTGGAATTTGCTCAGAATCCCTTCTTAGTTTCATTTCTTGTTGACAGGTCTTTCTGAAAGAATCCATCTGGTGTTTTTAAGTAATAAACTATCTGAACTGAGATTCCTCGGTGGCTTGGATTAATGATATATTCAACATATTAAAAAATGGCTTTCTCTGTTGCTGTAGACATTGCTCTTTATTTGTACTACTGAAGATGATACTTTCTTATTCCTTTAATGACTGTCTCCCCTGTCAGTCTTATAGATTCTTACAGATTCTTCCCATTTCTCTAGGCAGGTTACATTTTATAGTAGGATAACTAGGATCAGTTAGTTATTCAGGAAATATTTTTTGAGTACCCATCAAGTTGAAGATAAAGTACTAAAATTAACAACACCGAATGTCTCATCAGGCATGCCACAGAAAATTCATTTATGCATTGATGTAGCTGATACTCTAGGCATTGGGCTTAAAAGATAAAGAAGTAAAATTGTAGATGGGGTAGACAGATGCAGTGCAGAGGGAGGACAGACTCCTGGGATAATTGGGAATGGTAAGTTAGGTATTGATAGATGAATAGAAGCTTTAAGCAGGAAAAAGGAATTCTAAGACAGTGACAGAAGGTAACTCCAATTTGTAAGGTGAAGGGTGTTTAGGAAATACTGAGACAAGGTGTGTGTGTGTGTGTGTGTGTGTGTGTGTGTAGGGAGTAGTGGCTCAAGGCAAGTCTTGCAGATGAAAGGAGTTTGAGGATGTTTTGAAAAAGTTTTTGTAGATCATGCATAAAGGAATTGATGACTTTTCCCTAGTAGGCTCAAGTGAGTCATATGACTAATGTTAGTGTGAAGAATGGCCTTCAGTTGGGGTTAGAGATGTCATTGATATCTGTTCTTGTCATTTGGGAATCCTTCCAAAATTGTCTGTTGTTGATTGATTAACCTAGCAGGTAAAAATCTTAAACTAATTTAATGGGGACAGAAAAGTCAGAGAACTGGGGAAGACATTTTGGAAAAAGAATTTGGTTACTAAGAAGTTAATTCATGTCTGTGAAGTTGGCAAAGTTGGTGATTAATGATATATTAATTGCAGCAAAGAAAACTGGTAGGACCCTTTCAGTGAAAAGAAGTAATATATTAACTTTAAGTATATATTAAGGAGAAAAGTAATGAATTCTTTAAGTACGTTAGACTGGATCTAGTGGTACTGGTCTATAACTCCAGCTACTTGAGACCACTGAAGGAGGATTGCTAGTTCAAGACCAGCTGGGGCAACTTAGATTCTTGTCTCAAAATAAAAACAAACAGTGTTGAGGATATACTGAGTGCCTGATTAACATACAGAAGGCTCTGGGTTCAATACCCAGTATTTCAAAAAGAAAAAAAAAAAAAGTATAAAGATAGGTATTGTAGCACATACCTATAATCCCAGTGGTTGGGGGTGGGAGGGGTTGGGCAGGAGAATCAGTAGTTCAGGATAAACTTGACTACAGAGTGAGACCCTGTCTGAAAAAGCCAGAAATAAACACAGCTAAAACAACAAAAAGGTATCCTGTGAAGATATCAGAAGATAACTACTATTAACTGTAAATAAGAATAAGTAACTTGGCAGGAAGTCACAACTAGTTCTAGCACTTTAGAAATGATTGGTTTATGAAGTGGTTAATAATGTAGACCTGGGATGGATGACATTTCTCAACTGTACATCTCAGTAGTTGGGTGGTCTGAGCAGGTCACCTATTGTCTTTGTACCTGCTTTCTCTTCTGTAGAAGAAGGTTGTTTTGAAGATTAAGTTTCTGTCTGGGGAGTGGGGGGGGGGGAAACTGAAGATTTGTCTTAAATTTGATAAACTACTTAGAAGAATGGCAGTCATTTTGAATTTAAGTGGATTAGTAGGACAGGAATGGACCTGGCATGGTAGGTGGTACATACTTGTGATTCGGTGTTGGGGTTGCAGAGCAGGAAGGGTGTGAATTTGAAGTCATCTTGGGCTATATGGCAAGTTGCCCAAGCCTTTCAAAGTAGACTGAGAAGTAGCCATATTAGAGAGAGTGATAGCAGACTACAATGAGAGATTACAAAAAGTAACTGTGGAAGGTTATATTCATGCTGCTTACAACAAGGTCTGTCACCCTACAATGTGACTTACACTCATCCTCTTGGGTCTGTGCTTTTTGTGAATCTGGAAATTTGAAAAAAGGCATTTACTGGGGAGGAAACACACATAGCAACAGACACCCAGACAAAAAGACTCTTCTCAAGGCAGAAGCAGGACTCAGAAAGCCAAAAAGAATTCCTCTAAGATGTATTCAAACTCAATAATTTCAGCTTGATCCGACTGAAAAATTAAGACAAAACTTTGAGCTATCTTCTGTTGTCCTCATTTCTTGGAATTGAAATACGAAAGAAATGAGATGGAAGAGTTGGGCTAAGGTGATAGTTAAAGACCATTCCTGCTTTTAAAGTTTTAATATATAATTCTTTGATTCTGCTAAATCATATAAAAGATATCATTTAATTCTATTACTTTTCCTTTGGAACCTAAAACCAGGTATTTTCAGAAATAATAGTTTATTACTTTATAGGAAGTATGTAAAGAATATTAGCAAATCAAATGAGGCTAGAGAGGAGGGCAAAATAATTTACTTCCAGTGTTATTGCTATATTAGACTCATGTTTCTAATACATCTCTAATTGATAGCACCATGTAATACCATTTTTTTTTTTTTTTTTTTTTTTTTTTCTGGTTCATGAGCTAGTAGCTTGGGGTTTGTATATATGGATCAGGGTGTGATTTTTTTTTTTTTTTTTTTTTTTTTTTTTTAAAGAGCCTTTCAAGGGGATTTGCACATACCCCTAGCTAGCTAGTATTTTGGTTTGTTCAGCATTGTTCCCTTGACTACAGATGGAAAAAAAGAACAGTGTGTGACAGAGCTTGCCTTTGCTTTTAGTTAAAATATGGAGAAAAGAATAAAACAGGAGAAGTTGT